AATTTCCTATCCTATTTAATATATTTTCTCAAGTTACACCAAATCTATCTTCATCTATTAACCCACTATATCTCTATGTGAATTTAAATAGATAAAGATACATTATGTTCTATTAAATTCCTTAGTTTACATGGAAAATTAAGTCCACTTATCACCAATGCTGCACAAATCATGTTGGTCCATCTCTGGCTTTCGTTCAATTTATGGTATATAGTACTAAAAGCTATTGTATAAAATCTCTTCTCGGTCTCAATTATGCTCTCCAGATCAATTTTAATGGTGGCCAATCATTAAAAAGCATTAAGAACAATAATATATACTCTACATAAAATAATAAATCTTGAAAGTATAAAAATGATAAAACTCTATATGAAATTGATCAAGCTACATCATAACCTTAGATGGCAAATCAGTGGCTGCAGAGTAACAGCAAGCATGTGGGAAAAGTGGCTATTACTTGTTCAAATTTAAAATGTAATTTTATTGTTTTTTAATGTAGAATATTGTTTGAATTTTGAATTATTTTAAAGTTTGTATTCTCCTACATATAGGAGAGTTTGTTAATGAGAAAATTTGAGTTGAAGTGTTATACTTCTCTCCATTTTAGTTTATGCTCTGCTCTCATCTTCCTCCCGATTCTCTCCATTTATGTCTTTGAGAAAAAAAAAAAAAACAAACTCATCAATTTATTTCAAACTATGAATGAACAAAAAATCTAAGTTCACATACTCCAAAAAACCTAATTCAAATGTCATTTTCTTCCATCGTTTTCATAGCTCAATCTTTCAGCTAATGCATGCTCATTTTAATACATGTTCTTTGCGGTTGAAAAAACATATACGTTTGTTCTTGTTTCAACAAATTATCCTTTTTGGTTCTGTTAAGATGTGAACATAATTATATTTAGAATTATTGTAAATATTTTATACTTTAGAATATTCTCTTTGTATACTTTATACCTTAGAATATTATCTTTGTAAACACCTATCATTGTATATACAGTATAATTCAAGAAAGCAATAAACCTTTCTTTAGATATTTCTCCTTCTTTTCAGTTTCTAACATGGTATCAGAGCTATAAGCTCTTGGTTCTTTTCTCTTATCATCGCTGTTGGGTTTTTTGGAGTTGGATTTTCAATTCCATTCCAGATCTGAAACTTTGTCATTAGGATCTCTTCTCATACAGATTGGATTGTTTATTCTCGATTCTCAGACCCTTTCTGAGGTATTTTGTTGGTTTGTTATTTCAATCTTGGCATCTATTTCTCCATATTTTTAGAGTTTTTCAATATTGTGAGTTTATTGATTCTATGACGAGTTTTGAAAGGATTGTAACTCATCCTGCTACTGCTACGGTTGCCAAAGAAGTGATAGAACAACCTAATGTCAACCTTAAATCCCTAAAACAGGTGATATTAAATCTTTTTAATGCTCCTACTGCCTTATATACTGCTCTGGGTACCAAACCTTGGTATTTCGATTCTGGTTGTTGTAACCATATGTCTTCAATTACTGCTCATTTCTCTTCAATGTCACCTAATAATTCCTTTCCTGATATTTATTCTGCTGATGGTTTCCCTATGAATGTTAGTCACATTGGTAATGTTTCTAAAAAGTCATTGACTTCACCAAATGCCCTTTTAGTTCCAAAGCGTAGTTATAATCTTCTATCTGTCGGTCAATTATGCGATCTTGGTCTTGAAGTAACATTTTCTGCTCATGGTTGTCGTGTGCAGGACCCACGGAGAAGACAACTTCTTGGAACTAGTCGCAAGGTGGGGCATTTGTTTGAGCTCAACTATCTGCATATTCCTGATAATAAAATGGATACACCATCATTTCCAAATGATCGATTCATCCAAGCCCTGCTTTGTGCTATTGAATTAGAGTCTTTGCAAATTCCATATCAACAAATCTTCCAAGTCTGTGCTGCTACTAACATTTCTCCTCTCCATTTGTGGCACTCACGACTCGGACATACCTCTGTCGGTAAACTTCGTCCACTTATCTCTCATGGTTTATTAGGATCAGTTCTGAATGAATCTGTGCATTATGTGTCATGTCAATCTGCATAGAACTTCTTTCATTGCAGTGGCTTCTTGAAGATATGGGCATTCCTCAACCTTCTTCTACTGATTTATATTGTGATAATCAAAGTGCTATGCAGATTGCTCATAATGATGTCTTTCATGAACGCACTAAACACATTGAGGTTGATTGTCACTTTATTCGCCATCATGTCAATCTGCAAAGCAACCAGCTTTATCTTTTTCAAGTAGTCATTCTCATTCTACTGCTCCTTTTGATCTTGTGCATTATGATGTTTGGGGTCCATCTCCTACACCCACCATGGGGGGTTCCAGGTACTTCATGTTATTTATTGATGATCATACTCGTTTTACCTGGATATACCTTATGAAAAGTCACTCTGAATTATCACAAATTTATATTGATTTTGCTACCATGGTCAAAACCTAGTTCTCTAAAATTATCAAAGTTTTGAGAACTGACAACGCTACTGAATATCTTGGTACTAAACTTCAATCTTTTTTGAAAGAACAGGGTACACTGCCACAACAATCTTGTCCTTATACTTCTGAACAAAATGGGCGAGCTGAACGCAAACACAGACACATCCTTGATTCTGTTCGTGCTCTGCTCATTTCATCCTCTTGTCCAGAGCGATTTTGGGGTGAGGCTGCTCTTACAACTGCTTATCTTATTAATCGCATTCCATCATCAGTCCTTAATAACCAGTCTCCATATGAGCGTCTACATGGTATTCTTCTTGCTTATAATCTTCTTAAGGTTTTTGGTTGTGCATGTTTTGTTCTTCTTCCTCCTCATGAACATAACAAGTTAGAACCTAGAGCTCGATTATGCTGTTTTTTGGGTTATGGGATTACGCAAAAAGGATATCGTTGTTTGGACCCTGTGTCACAAAAACTCCAAGTTTCACGTCATGTTGTATTTTGGGAACACACTATGTTCTCATCATTGTCAAACTTCAAAGTGTCACCCTCTCATCAACCTCCATTTTTTACTAATCTTTCTATTGAGCTATTTCCTAGTGATTCTAATGCAGGTACATCTGATGAGCTCTACAATGCCTCACCACATGCTCCAACCAGTTCTGTAGAAGATGATCTGCCTGCTAGTAATGCATTAGATAATTTTGAGCCTTCTTCTACTTCCTCGTCTACAAATGAGCTTGTTGTCCCATCCTCGAGTCATCCTACTCAGGTAAGAAAGCCTCCAAACTACCTT